CAGCTAGTTAGGGGCGCCAAAATGTGCTTTGATAATATTTTATTGATGAAAATAATGGGTTTGAGAGTTGAAAAAAAAGAAAAAGGGACGCTAAAAATGGATCTTGTCCCCGGGCGCGAATCTTGTCCCCGGGCGCCAAACACCCTCGCTACGCCACTGCTTCTGTATGTAGCTTATTCAGGTTTGTGTTTTTGACAACAATGATATTAGTTAGCAACAACCAAGCACCGGCTCGGGGCAACTCGACTGTTACAGTAAAAAAAAAGATAACTAAGCAAGTGAGCAAATACCAGGTATGACGTGTCCCATCATAAAGTCCAAATATGACTATGGGGTGTCTTAATTACACCGTATATAGCAGGGGTGTCAAACTCAAATCATCCGGAGGCCGCAACAAGTATTCCCCAAAAAAAGGCGATTACAAAATCAATAAAGTACAACTGTTACAATCTGCTGAACCTTTATTAATAACAAAAACAACAAAAAAAACATTAAGGTTCTCAAGAACTAGACTTGACTTTCTTCCTCCTACTGCTAGTTGCCAGAGACCTGGCAGCGGTTCTTCCTCCTACTGCTAGTTGCCCGAGACCTGGCAGCGGTTCTTCTTACGAAGCTGAGCATCATGTGGCTTGAGGGAGGATGCACCTGAGACCCTCAGTAGAGCTTGAAGATGCTCATCAGTAAGTTTGACCCTGAACTTTAAATAGTTAAATTTCATAATGGAAAAGAGCTTTTCACACAGATAGGTACTCTCAAAAAAGGCACATGATCCGCTTGAACAACCTGGAAATCTCAGGGAAGGTGGAAGGAAATGCTCTCATAAATTTTCCAGGGCACGCTTTTCTGTTTCTCTATTCACCCCTCTGAACTTAGAATTGCACTGAAGATCAATAATTAGCTCCGTTTGAAGCGCGGGGGGGTTGGGGTGGGGGGGGAGGGGGGTTTGCATCTTCCAAACAGAAGGAGAAAGGGTCAGCAAAAAGACTAAAAGTTGCTCTGTCTGTTTTGAAGTCTAAAAAAATGTGATCAAATTCTTCCTGTACCTTTGCAAAATCATAACACAAGTTTTTTGCAGAATGCCCTGACAATGTCATAGGCAACACTGACAAGCTACCCCAGGTCTTGTAACTTCTTGTTGAGTACTTTCAGCCCCTGTGTAATGTCAACAAGAAAAGCTAAGTCCATGAGCCATTTGGGATTTATTTTTTTATTTAGGTATTTTTATATAGCGCTTACCTTAAAGCTCTAAGCGCTTTACAATTATTAAAAACATTTAAACTAAGTAAAATAAAAATGAGACACTAGGATAGTAACTACTATACTATAGAAAAAATTAAAATGGCTATAAAACGAGGACACTTTGGCACGTTTTGGGATCAACCAGGAACAACCACCCCATCCTTCTCCATGAAGGCTTTGACGGCTAAAAGGTATTCAAACAGTAGGCAGGGGCAGGCAATATTTAATAATTATTGATGCGATGGAAGATGCTATTGTAGGGAGAATGAATTTTGATTTTTTTATCAAAGAAAAGGCATATTTGACAAACCCTATTTTGAAAGTGACCAAGCTGACAGGCTCGGAATTTATCTCACTTGTTAACACTAGTGGCAATTTTAATAGGGATTCTTTGATACTGTGTCAGGTTGCTACGACTGACACAATCATGGTTGTGCATTACCCACAAACTGAATTTTTTAACGTTTCTCAAAACTGCACTTTGGCCATGTTTGTCTCATAATATGCTATAAAATAAAAACTTTTAGTCAGATTTTTACAACGGTTTTTACCACTATAATTATGAACGTCCAAATCTATACAGACAAAATAAAATTCAGAAATAGACTAGTCGGTGAGATTCTACTGAAACTTTCGCGGAGGGTCACGTTATAGACTTAGACATGATAATTGGGAAAACGAGCGGGCCGCATTAACACTAAACTTTCCTGTCATGTAGCGGGCCGCAAAATATCGTCTTGTGGGGCACAAATGGCCCGCGGGCCGCGAGTTTGAGACCCCTGGTATATAGCTTCATCAACAGCCACACAAAATTTAATTTTCCCACGGCCCCGCATCTTCCTAGCCCAAGCCCCGGTGAGTTGAAAGGAAGATTTAGTTGTTGTTTTTTTTTAAATATTACACGAAAATAAAATCTGGGCTGAAAATAAATGTCAATGAAGAGGAGATTAGCCAATCTTGGCTCTTTTCTGTTAAAAAATTCGTGGTTAGGAAGAAAAGAAGTTTTATGGCTGAATAAACAAACAAAAAATGTGAATGGATGACAGCACGCCTTGTTATGACTCGCAAATATAGCTTAGCCCGGGCGTCCCAAACAATAATGATGTGGGGATATGAAAGCTCTTATGTTCAGCCTAGTAAGTGAAAATGTAATAACTTATTGATTCATTCAAAGGATAGATTGCTATTCTATCCGTCGGTCGTTGATCAGTGGGATCTGATACGGGACACGGTGACTCCAAGCACTCATTGCCTTTTTTTTTCCCTTGACAGTTTTATTCTTACGTCTTAAGATGTTTGAAACATTAGCGTCGGCAGTCAGTGGCGTATTCATTGGTTTTGGAAGGCGAGAACCCGGGGCCATCTATCGACAGAATACACAGAAACTGTCAGGCAGTTATAAATAGATTAGTGTCCGTTGTCTTAATAAAATAACGTTCATTTGGTGGCATAGTTCAGGATGGGAACAAAGGTTCATTCTTTGGATTTGGTGAAGAGATGTATTCAACCATGGACATTTGTAATGGCTACCGGTGCAAGTTGCGTAGATCTTGCTGACGGTCTTGACAGCTAAATACAATGTGACCATGGCATGCCGAAATTGAAAGTTCCCCGAACAATGTGCTGAATGGAATACTGCCGCTGAGACAAAGGCATGGGAGCGATAAATCATTTAGGTACGTCAAAACCACTCGGCGCATCCATCTGCGCAAGCTCAAAAATGTCGAAAAAACCGTGCTCTACAAAAAATAATACTACAATATGGAGTAAAGCTCCATTGCATCATTGGAAAATTGCATACAACGTCATATTTGTCTATTAAATAATCTTAAATAATAGCTTTTCTCATCAGCGACCTTTCAGTTTTTGTGTTCCGGTGATATAGGAATTTAGTCACAATGGAACCGGAAACGCATCGCCGCTATTCGGGTGTCATTTGTGGTCGTTTATTTTAGTTCAACTGAAGAATTAGGTTTGCAAGCATATAGTCCTAATTATCTTTCATTCGACACCAAATTTTATTTTACAAACCCAACAATAATATTTCTTAATATTGTTTTTAAGAAAACCAACCTCTCACTTCTGATACTGGGTCCGAATAACCGCGACCTTTTCATACCCCACTCCATTGGGAGATGCATAACATTTCAGGGACATGGTCAACAATAACTCAAAAATTGAGAAAGAAAAAAAAACAACTCTTAATGTACCGGTAGTTTGCACAGCACTAAAGCTTAATTGCCTGGCACAACTTATAAAAAAGTATTTATGTGATTTATATACTTCCCGAGTCCTTATAATAAAGAAAATCATAGAGTTTTACATTTTGCAATGTGATAATCTACGAGGGACTGCGTACAGGTCGTCTGAAGACTTAAACGCCGGTATCTACGAGGGACTGCGCACAGGTCGTCTGAAGACTTAAACACCGGTATCTACGAGGGACTGCGTACAGGTCGTCTGAAGACTTAAACGCCGGTATCTACGAGGGACTGCGCACAGGTCGTCTGAAGACTTAAACGCCGGTATCTACGAGGGACTGCGCACAGGTCGTCTGAAGACTTAAGCGCAGATATCAACGAGGGACTGCAAGACTTAAACGCCGGTATCTACGAGGGACTGCGCACAGGTCGTCTGAAGACTTAAACGCCGGTATCTACGAGGGACTGCGCACAGGTCGTCTGAAGACTTAAACGCCGGTATCTACGAGGGACTGCGCACAGGTCGTCTGAAGACTTAAACGCCGGTATCTACGAGGGACTGCGTACAGGTCGTCTGAAGACTTAACGCCGGTTCCATGCTCGTTCATGGCGTTATTTATTTTGCAGTGGTCTCAGCTGGTTCAAAACCTTCTTTGGATTTGGTGAAGAGATGTATATTATATATTGTAATGGCTACCGGTGCAAGTTGCGTAGATCTTGCTGACGGTGTTGACAGCTAAATACAATGTGATCATGGCATGCCGAAATTAAAAGTTCCCCGAACAATGTGCTGAATGGAAATTACAGACTATGAATGGACACGGCCTGGCCACAATAATAAAATATAATATTCATATTCCTGCCTTCGGCACCTGCCTTTGTATTAACAAGAATGATGTACGCCAGCGATTTCTTACTGTAATCTAAAGAACACCGACTATTTTTGTACGTAACATTGGTTAAGCTTCGCATTAATAAGACACAAAATTGTTGCGAACACAAACAGTTTTATGCCTTGAATCTAATTAAGTTTTATCGCAGTCTAAATCTCTTATTCTTAAAATTATTTAATTCCTTAATCTATGTCAGGCCTGCACAACCCACGGTCCGCCAGCACCCACTTTAGGGCCCGCCAGCGCCCACTTTATGGCCCTCGAAGTACCGGTAACGAATTTTCTTTTTTATTATTATTTTCTTAATAGCTTTCCACTCACGTCCTATTTTCTTTCGGCCCGCACAAGTTTTCATCAAGTATTACGGCCCACCTTACATTTTGATTTTGAGTTGTGCAGATCTGGTCTATATTGGTCTATTATTCAACACACATTTATATCTAGATCCACCTTGATCTTATTTTCTTTTTAAACATATCATAGCCCTGGTATAGTTTACATATCATAGCCCTGGTATAGTTTACATATCATAGCCCTGGTATAGTTTACATATCATAGCCCTGGTATAGTTTACATATCATAGCCCTGGTATAGTTTACATATCATAGCCCTGGAATATATTGGCTAAAATATATTGTAAAATTCTTTACACTGTCTTTTTTCAAGGACAAAAATAATGTACATTAGGCATATAAATAAAATAGTGTTAACTATTTAAAAAAAAATACACAAGTTGTACACACATAGGTATAGAGGTAAGTTTAATGAAGCAACCAAAACTGGATGAAGTTTAGGTGTAGGACATTAAAATAATCCCCTTTTCAGGGTATCTGGAGTACAAGGGTAGAGGACATCACACAAATTAGATTTTTCACACTGGGAAAACTTTGGGGGTCATCATTCAATTGAAACTAAAACAATTAAGTGACAGTTCCTAATTGGAATACAATAGTTTCAACAATTTGCAATAGTCCTGAATTATTAAGGCTTGATTCTTCACAAAAATTAATTACTAGAATTCAGTAAGATTACACACTTGTTTTAGCCAAGTCTATAATGAGTACACGGTACAGCAAATATGCTTGTCTAAAATATTCATCAATAGAACTTAAAAGAGAAAGTACCAGTAACCAAAACTCTTTAAACAAATTATCCATAACAAATGAAATTTTGTAAATAACATTTTTTTAAAATTTAATATAGCAAGAAAGAAAATTAAAAAGGTTCTCAAAAAGGAAACAAAAAAGGCTTAGTTTTTATTAATGCCATTATTTTTGTTGTCTTTTACTTTTAAAATTAGAAAATATTTATAAAAAGAAATAGTTCATAAAAGCAACTTCATATAAAAAAGAAGCAAAATCCATACTTACTGTAGGGTTAGATTAAAATGTAAGATTCCTATTCTCCACTAATTAATGTTCTACTGAACTACAGGTAGGACATTGTTCTTGAAGAACCATGAACGGTTACTAAAACTAAAAGTTAAATACATTAGTATCATTATAATGCTAGAAGTTCAAATCTTTACAACTAAATTTAAATATATGCATAACTATGTAGTTTTAAGTTATTGAATGCATTAGTTTAACAAAACTATTCAAGAAGAACACCATGACTTCTGTGGTAATACACTTTAAAATAAACCTAGTGTAAAAAGCTACACTTACCCATATACTTCGTTTATCTGTTTTCAGGACATTTATTTTAAATAGAAAATATAAAATTTAAATAAATCCAATGAAACTTACAAAATGGCTTCATTACAATATTTTTTAAAGTACTGCATTAAAAAAACACAGAGCAACAAAAGAAAGAAAAAAAATGACTAAAACAATCTAAAAATTCTAACATTCCTACAAAAAATTACATTTATTAGCAGAGGCTGAGATTAATTGATCAATTATGGAATATTTAATAATTTTTCACGTCTATAAAATATCAGAGGGTTCCATACTTTGCTTCCAAGTTGATTTAAAGGTAAATAATTAAAGCATCTTCACCTTCAAGATTATAAAACAATTAATTTTGATAAAGAAACATTTCAACTTCATTACTTCATACTTGAATTGTTGAATAGTGCCTTTAGATTTAAACTTTATCTTTACTTTAATGCAAAATACTACTTTGTGTACAAAAACGAACAGTACATTTAGGTTAGCCTGCATTTTTGGCAGGAAATGTTTTAAGGCTTACTTTTATTTTAAAACAAAAAAATTAATGTGTTTTCATTTGATTGTGTGACTTATGAACTGAATTTGAAAAAAATTAAGATTGTCTTGTTACACTGTTTTGAACATTTCTCAGGTTCATGAATATTTTGTAATAAATAAATCTCGCACCTCATCTAATTCTAATGAATCTTACTTGACTAGCACTAAAAGTAACCCGTCCAACAATGGTTAGAGCAAGACATGAACTTCCCATCTACTCAAGATATTTGACAAAACACACATTCACCTGATGCACTTTATAAGAATCCATTTTACTATTAATATTAGTACTAACTTCTGGAAATTTTCTTTTGCCCGCCTATAGAACACAGCATTACAGCCATTCATACATACCTAGATAACTATTATTTTTGATGAGCCAAACATCCCATCACTTCTCTACTGCCTAATACTACCAATATTAATAGGAAAAACATGTTGACAAAAAAGCCACCCATTGATTAATCATTAAGCAAAAATGTATGTGAATGTGTGTTGTCCCACTATTCCATTGAGACTTTTAAAATGTACATCTGCAGTATTCATTGAAGTATAAATTGGAAATCCCTCTATTATTATAGTTTAGGGACCATTGTCTCCAGGTTCATCAAAGAAGAGTTCTTTGACACGTCTGTTGGAATCCATGCTAAAAATGATAGGACTAGTAGTTTATTCAAAAGCAATTAAAACAAAACTCATGGAGAAGCAACCTTGACAATATGACAGAGAGTGAGAAAAAGGACAGAATTCATGGATGGCTCATGCATCACTAGAGCTAATGAGGCAAAGATAAGGCCATGAAGAATGAATTGTTAATAATAATTTTAGAGCACTGGTACCTTATTTATAATTTATTAATAGCTAATTTTCAAACAAACCAATAAAAAAAATACAACATAATATTAGTTTACACTTTTAACAATCAACAACAAGTAGTGGCAATAACTATAAACATTTCTTCTAAGATTTACAAGAACTCATATATACATATTATGTACAAATGTACTGCCTTTTAAACATAGTGTTTTAATGCAAAAACTAGAAGTAGAAGAAAAAAATTGTTATTTAGAAAAATTTACTCTTAAAATACCAGAACAAAGTGAAATCTTTAACATCTTCAACAAATTTTAATAATATGATAGAAACTAAAGCTGGAGAAATAAAACTGATAACTAAATTTAACAAAAGAACTTTATACAAGTCAGTGGTTATTAATATCCCAAAGCCAATAAAGAAAATCTATTGTAAACAAATAAACCAGAATTTGAACAAGGCATCAACTAAACCATCATTTTATCTTTTTTGACATCATCCATTTATTTACAAACAACTCCACTGGCATTTGACACTGTTGTACCTAGAGATGAAAAATCAATGAAGCCGGTATGTTGGCGCTGGTGGTCAACAGAGTCATGCCTAAGTATCACCTGCCCACAAATATAACATTGTGATATTGTCTCTGCAGCCAGCCAATGGGCTGTGCTTGGGGTTTCAACTTCACCGGTTCCAAGAGTGCCAGAGGATGATTTGGAAGTCCTACCAATAGATGCCTGATGCACTTTCCATAACTCCTGCTGTTTGCCAATGTCTGGAAGAAGGGCCAACAGTTCAGGAAAAATGTTGACAAATTTTTCATCTCCCATCAGAGCCTGGCAGCTGAAATAGTAATGGCTGGCATCTGTTGCACCTTGTCGAAACTGGGCAGACAGTGCTTTGAAGCTGTCAAAGCCTTGTTCCACAACGGCGAGAGCTTGTCGAATGTCTCCAACTAGTTTCAGGTTGCGTTCCTTGAAGCCTACAGGCTGGATGTACACAGCACTGGGTATAAATCCTGGAGGAGTGCTTGGTGGGATCTTAAATCCGGGGGGTGCAGGGATGGGGCTGGTAACTTTAATAACAGGTGAAAGTGGCTCAGCTGAGAAGCCTGGTGGTGGCTTAGGCTGCTGGACTGAAGTAGACATGGCATGCAAGGAGGGGAAGTTATCATCAACTTTAAAGGGAGGAGAAGTCAGTGATAAACCACTTAGCCTCAATGGTGGTGATTTCTCAACCTTTTTAGGTTGCTGAATAGTTTCAGCTGCCTCAACTTGTGGATTATCAAACCAGTCTGTGGGCTTTGGCAGCTTACGCGCTAACACTGAACCATGCTTTTCATCTTGTTTGGTTGATCCTTTAACCAAGGCCTGGGCTATTTCATTTAAAGATGCATTGATTTCCTGACTAGGTGCTGATTTTGGTTGGAAAGATGACTTATTTTCTTTTTTCTTTTTATTTATCTTCTTCTTGTCATATCCACTAACACTAGTGACACTTACTTTATTTTCCCGTGAAGGTAATTCTGGAAAATCATTAAAACTTTTACTGGATGGAACAGTAGTCTTTCGCTTCTCAACAACAGTAAAGGCTTCAAGTGCACTATCTGCCTGCTTTTCTGACGAGCTTTCAAATGACGTGTAATAACTTTCAGGTAGCTCAAACATTGCATCATCATATTTTTCAGATTTTGGTTTCTTAATTTTACTGTCACTACTACCATTGGTCAGTTTTAACTTCTCTGTAAATGGAAAAACTTTATTTCCCCGAGATCCACCGCTATCTAGACACGGAAAATCGTTCTCATCTTTTACTGATGTTTTTAAAGTATGTGTGAATTTGAAAGGGCTATTGTTATCAAGAGCATAAGTTGTCTTTTTTGCATGTACGATACCCACAGGTTTTCCCACTTTAATCCAGTTAGAAGAGCTGTTGGCAGAATTAGAAACTAAATCATTTGTGGTCACACCTGCACCTAGTGCTGGATACTCATCTTCTGTAATTTTAGGTACTGTTGTTGACCAGCGCTCACGTGGAGCTCTGCTAACAGATCCTAAAGAGACAGGCTTAGATTCTTTTTGAGCCGGGGCCAATGGTTTTTTATCCACTGGCGGATTTACTAGTGAAGAGTACTGCTTTATGGGGGCTTGTAGATTATTCTTATTACCGCTCAGGGTGGAGTTTGGATTAGACAAAATAGGAAAGTCCTCCTCAAGAGTTTTTGGCTGCCTACTGTAGCTTACAGCTGACGTAACATATGCAGGAACTATGGAACCATTTAAAGTCGGAAAATCATGAACAGGATCTGGAACTGGCTCTACTTCAAATGGCTTTGCCTGAGAGTTTACTAGCTCTTTTGATTCTTCTAGGGCACGATGTAGGTCTACATCAAATTCACGATCTCTTCTGGGGAGCAAACCACGAGAGTCCACATTTCAATATTCCTTTTAAAAAAGTGATCATTGTTTAAACATTTTAGGACCAAAACTTGCATCAATAACATATTATATGATAATTTAAGAAAATCTGGACCCATGTGTCATTTTGAACACTGCATTTAATCTGTGCTTTGCCATTTAGCATGATTAGGAAGAGTGCTTTTACGTTTACTAAACACAGAATTTTTTCTGTCAGGATTGTCTGGAATAGCCATACATTTCTTTAAAACTTAAAATATATTAAAATACAATAAATAGATTCCCTTTTGAGACTAGTTTCAAATACATAATACAACAGTCTAAAGAAAAGATAAATAAATAAGATAGCACTGATCTTTGCCCACCTTCTATTGAATCTGTCACCGCCTCCTCTTCCATGTGTTGCCCCATCAAAGTCATCTCCTAAAAACAAAATATATTAAAGAGTTGAAAGACAAGCCTATTAATATTATAATATTATAACTCGTTCAATAACAAAGTAATGAAGAACTTGACTTGGCTAATGTTTTGAAAGTTATTAGAACTTGAACAAGGTTTACAGTTATAGCCATTTGTTTGAAAACATGTGTAAAATATTACCCTCTAATTGAGTTATTAATAATGTAGCATTAGCCTGAAATTAAAATTAGTTCTATATTAATTTGAATTAGCCATTCCACACACCTCCCCTATTGTTTTGTCGCCGAGGAAGACGCTGAAAGTCCAACTCTATAGTCCGAGCTTCACGTGACTGAGCTTTAGACATATTCTTGCCATGTGTGGCTGCTTTGTGGGCTTTCAGGTCTATGTCTGATGCAAAAGCATGAGTAAAGCGAGTGGATAGATTTGCACATTCTCCTTCAGTGCAAAGGAAATGGGACTCCGAGAAATGCTTTGCTAAATCAGGATATTGGCTGAGAAAAAGAGGTTGTATTTAACAATTTAACCAGAAGTTTTAATGATCACAAAAGCCTGTTGACAATGGTTGTTGTATTTTTTAGAGGGGCTTGTAACACAAATTACTTTTTAAAAACAAACATTTTCAGCATAATATAAAAAATTAAAATAAATGAATGGCCACACCGCTTTTTTTGTTTTTTAATTAAAATTGAACAAATAGACCTAGACTCTATTTATGTCAAAACAATATTTATAATACTTACTCATAATAGGCATTTGAGCCCTGCTGATCACAAAAGTGACAAAAAAAATGATCTTTGCGTAAATGTTTTAGCAGCTCATCCTTATCATTGTAACGTACATCACAAAATTCACAAAGTGGGTGGCCTTTATATGACTTATCATCTTCATCTCCAACACGTCTGTGAACAGCAAGAGTCTTCCGTGTATAAAACTTCCGTTGAATTGGGAAAATCTACAGGTAAAATAAGTTTAAATTTGAATATGCAAAGGTAAATTATATATATGTATGTATGTATTATGTATGATTATGTTAAAACACTTCTGATTTTTTATCTTTTTTTAAAAAGGACTTCAACTAAACTAAACAAGGGTTGGGAAAAGTACTTGGGTTTAAGTCAACTGAATCCAGGCTGAACCAACCTTCAAGTTTGCAACACAGAGGTCACAAGCAAAAAGCTCATGTTCCCTTCGCATATGTGTCTGTAGCTGTGCAAATGTTTTCTCAGGGTCTCTGTTACGGCATATTTTACAACGAAACTCCAAGAGCTCTGAAAACCTTTCTTCCACTTTTTCATCATCATAGAATATTTTATACTTGCGATTTGGAATGCAGTTACGCAGATTAATATTTCTGAACAATTGCTTCTTATATACAAATGCAACCTGAAATAAATTGTAAAAACAATGTTTATAAAAGGTTATGGACCTAATAATTAATTGTATTAATATTTGCTAAACATACAAGATACAGGTGTGGAAAATACTATTGGAACCATTTTCCCAATCGCAAAACACATCAAATTGTCATTAACATCAAAATATATAAACATATACGAAACATTTTATTGGCCACTGGTGCTTTGCTGCAGATCATGAATGTCGTCATCTAAGGCAGCAGTTGGGGGTACCGGAGTTTGTTTTTTCATAAACATGGTGAGCTTTGTCTGAATTGTAAGATTCTTTTTTTCATCATAAATTTCACGATACAACTGAAACACATCATGCACCATCCGTTCAATCCTTGAAAATCATTCCATGTTTGGGTGCATTGCTTCGAAATGTATGAGAAGTTTATTCAGTTAAGATAAACCTTCTGATAATCACTTAGTGGTGAACTTTCTTTCTGGCTCATCCTCTTCTTTCTTGGCTTCTCTTCTTTCTTCTTCCGCCACTCGTTATTCTTTCAATTCGATTAACTCTTCATTTGTAAGTTCTCCGGATTCTTTGTCTAGCAACTCTTCAACATCTTCAATTTCACACTCCAAAGAAAGGTCATTGGTGAGTTTTACTATTTTTTCCTGAATCGTTTCAAGTTCATGTTCACTCTGAAACTCTTCAAACTCTGAAGAGCTCTCCAATCAAAACGCTTTAGCCGAGCTTGGGGAAGTCAATGGACCTAGGGTTATTGAGTGTGACCGTGTTATTTCTTAGAAATTGATGACGCGGGCTAGCAGCATAGTATCATGCCTCCCTTTCCTTAGTTAACAACTGCCAATGATTGCAGAAAACACCGTTCAACTGATAATTGAGGCGGAAATAAATCTGAAATCTAATATGGCTAGTGATTGTGGTCGTAAAGTCGAATGGCCGTTAAGTTGCATAGGTCGTAAGTCAAGCACTAGCTGTACGTATATTTTAATCCCATATGAAGGACAAAAAAATTAGTATGTCATTCCTTTTAAGTTAATTATGTTGTTTCAAAAATCAAAACATATTATTAGAATCAACTTGGCTGGCGACAGAAATTAAAATAAATTCTAATCGTTAGCTTGAGGTAAGTACAAGTTTTTATGATGAAGATCAGAAAAAAGATCCGCATGGTTAAAAGGGCTGTTTTTTGATTGGTTGAAAAGAAAATACCCGTAAGCCACTCATTTATATAATTATAATGTCGCAATTTAACATTTCAACACAATTTTCTGGGGAGGGTTACCCCCCCAAGACAAAAATTTTTAAAATGATGGGAAAATATTTTGAGAAACGGAACCATGGACAGTAGTTGACATGGGGACCTCCATGACCTATATACCGTGGATATGGCAGACATCGCTGGCCCTGCCATTAACTGCATTTTAGCCCTAAAGTGTCTATGAAAAAACAATATGTCTACTCTAAGATGTGGGTGGAAATAGAATATGCATGCTGGTATATAGTTGGCAAAAAAATCGTAAACAATGGCACGCTCGGTAAATTAAAAAGTAGAGATCACCATTTTCATAAAGGGTCGTTCACAAAGGACATCATGCTCGGGGGGGGGAGGGGGGGGGGGTAGAAATAGAGAATTTGTGACACTTGGGACAGGGGGAGGGGGGGGGGGGGGTTGTCAAAAATTTGTGTCTTCACAAAATAAAAAATCTAAAATCTTTATTCAAATTATTTTAAAAACATTAATTTGAAGTCCAAATTGCCTCTGGTATTATAGGTATCGTTTAAACTAAGTTGAGCACAACTTCTGGGCATATCAGAAAATGACGTAAAAACTGTTGTGGCAATTTTACATTCGACTCAGGGAGGACTTCATTGTTTTGTGTTTAGAAGTGGCTTTTCGTACCCAGGTACCAGAAGTGAGAGGTTGGGATTAAACTATTTAAAATTTTATTGTTCGATTTGTTAGACAAAATGACACACATCGCAGCTATTCAGACCCTGGTCCCTTTAGACTCAATGCTATTCGGATGTCATTTGTGGTAGTTTATTTTAGTTAAACTGAAGAAGTAAGTTTACAAACATATAGTCCATTCAATTATCTTTCATTTGATACCAAATTTTGTCTTAAAACCTAGCAATAATATTTTTTATTAAATTTTAATCCCAATCTCTCACTTCTCGGACCCGGGTCCGAATAGCCACTTTGTTTTGATACACTCGCCAAGCGTCCGTGAGGATAGTTGTCCCTGGTAACACATGATCAGTGATAATGCGCTCTAGTGTTATTGCATCTCGACGGCCAACAACCTCCATCCAACATAGGGTTGCCAGACGTCCGGCAAAAGGAGGAAATTCTCCGTCCTGCAGGCAAAGCTAAAATCTTTAAAATGTCCAGCTTTTCTTACATTTATATTATAATTTTTATGTATCGTTTTTACAACTATTACATTGTATGTTTACGTTGTTACAATCTACAAAGTCTATGCATTTCTGCGAAACAGTCGATTTTAGTCATTCTAACACTCTAGCTCTGTGCTGTTGTTATGTAGTTCACTATTTTCCCAAGCTTGAACTTTGCTTGACCCAAATTAGATCCCTAGCAGACGTTAGCGTTTGTTGTGGGCGTGGCCTATTCGTTTGATGTATCTTGCTTACTACCGCCTTTCCAATTAAATATGTTAGACTGTCTCCTAGTATTTTGTAGAACGTTTGCAATTGTTCTAGAAATGTAAACAAATGCTGAGTAGCTTCTGGAAGGCAGGGCTTACGCGTCGGTAGACCCCTATATATAAAGGGATTGACAGGCCAATTGAGAGGAGAGATTGAGAGATTGATAGGTATTTTTAACTTCACAAGACGTGTATTATTCTTTGTGTACTGATATGTGTTTATTCGCATTGATCGTTCATCATTATTAATTGGCACATTGTATTAACTGTGTACCGGTACAAGATCTACCATACTGTGAGTTCATGATTTATAATAATTATATTTCTTTTGTTTGTATTGTATTATTACTAAATTAAATCTTACTAATTGTAAGTGGCAACTGTTTTGGGTGTCGTATCTTTATTATCGTATTTCTATGGTATCGTCCTTTGTTAGGCACTGTTTGAACGAGCCATAAAATTAAAAAGAAGAGATTAATTTCTCACAAGAGAAGCCAGGGCGTAACAGCTATATTATCTATGGTCAAAATGTGAATGTTATTTCCAGTTCCGGCAACAAAGACGCAAATTTAAATTGTTTTTTTAATTTGTTATTTTTGCCGTCTATGTTTATGAAAATGGCTTCTACAAAGTGAAAATGCAAATTCTCGAACACTATGAAAAATAAGTGTCCTAGCTTCGTTGAAGGACGCAATGAGAATGAGGCAAAGTGTACCATTTGCGATAATTACTTGTCCGTTGCCAACAAAGGAGCTAATGACTTGGAGCGCCATGTTGACAGTGAGAGACATAGAAACCTAATCAAAGTGTCCGCGTCATTGAAAAAATTAACGTCTTTTTTTCTGCCTAAGTATTCAAAATTAATATAGATTATAAGGTAATGATTGAACAATTGGCTATTTAAATGATGTTTTTTGACATTTTGAAAAAGGTGTTCATAGAATTTGTTTTTTTAACGTAACTGTTTCTTGGTCGATTCACTAAGAGTAAGATACACTTAATTGGCAACTATTACAATAAAATTGTGCTGACTGTGAGTTTAATCCGGGACGATTCAAATGAAACATTCAAAATGTCCTCCTTTGTCCTCTTTTTTGTTTTACTATGTCCTCCTTTTGGTGTCCACGTATCTGGCAACCCTAATCCAACATCATCCACTACCATGACGCTCAACCAAGCCAACAACACACGTAACAACGTGTCGCTGGGTGATATTTTCTGTGGAAAAAAGCAACTCTCATCCATCTCAACGAAAACTGGCTGCTTGCATCGAAGCCCCCCCCCCCCCCCCCCATTAGGTCTCAGCATCCACTGACAGTATTCCTGACGAATATAGTTGTTATAGTTGACAATAGTGTCCCAGCTCTAGACTCTCGAACAACATAACGTGTTTACACTTGACTTCGTAAACCCAATAATACATGATCATAACTATTTTTTCAGTTGTTAGATCACAGTTGGCAAAGAATGACCCGGTTCTAACACTACTACGGGTGTTGCGTGGGCAAAAACGCTACAAAAAATAACGTCGTTGCATTCCACAAGAGCGACTAAGGCCATTGGGCGCCTGCATGTTCCACAATTAACATTGTTTCCAATCAAGCCATGTCGGGCTAGCCACTCCAACCCTTCAAGCCTCTTTGACATTACAGGATAAACAACTCACACTGAGTTACTTCAATTCCGCCCAGTTGTGCTGCTGGCAAAATAACCGAACTAATGCTTATCAGTGCAGCAGGCCCACCTGCCATAATTTAATACATTTATTGAAATATACACAAACATGAATTTCAAACAAAATGATGCCTTAGACTTTTAAGTAAGGAGTAATCATCTGAAATAATTTGAGACCGGACTTCGGAGGATTGCCGAAATATAAAAAAAAAGTAGTTTAGTTATGAAAATGTTGTTTTGAATTTTTTTAGGTGTGACGTAATACTAAGTGGTGTGGGGAGGGGGGTTTAAAGGATTTGTGACGAGGGGGGAGGGGTCTGATAACGTGTTTGTTTGCGTGACATGATTTGCAAACGACCCCAAACGAAATAAAGCCGTTTATCCATGTTTCCCGAGCCCGAACATTGAACTGTACCGAAGATCTATTTAAGCAGGAAATAAAAACATCCAAGGCCCATTAAAACTGTGAAATTTTAACGTCTGGATACATAATAATTTGGTTACCTGAGGCATAGTACTTCTACATATTGGGCAGTCCATTTGTTCACACAAAACACGCATTCTAGTTGAGCATCGGTAACAAACAGGGTGGTCGCATGGTCCAACAGCGTAAATTTCATAGATATCATGACACACTGGACAAGTGTTATCAACACTTTCCAAGCGTTCCAAGTGTACTCCAGACATAATTATAGTTTGAGTTTGTTTGCGGTTTCAGCTTAAGAGTTAGTAATACTTGTGCTGTTGTTTTTTTAATTAACTTTTGTGAAACGTGGCCCTTATATTGTCCTAAACGTTGCCTATGTCCTAGTAATTTACCCCAGTGGTGCAAGAGTCGAAAGGAAGTACGTCACAAACTATTTAAAGATTATGCTATGAATAACTTTCGGTAAGGCCCAAATAGTAAAACCAAAGTGTTCCGAGTTGCTATTCACAGTCGGCTGGGAATAATACGTGCTAGCGGTTGTAAACCGTTTATCGGCTGGGAATAATGCTGAGATGACGTTGAGCGCTATTGCCAGTCGACTGTGTAAGGAAAAATGGATTGGATATTACCGGTTTTAATTTTAAATCGACCATATTTCAATACTTACTAAGAAGAGTATTGCTACAAAGCTAGGCCTATCTTTACCCTATGGTATTTGAATATGGATAATAAAGTGTATGTGTACTACTTTTGGTCAAGATCCATCTATCTTGGGGATTTTCGGGGGGGGG